AATTAAAAAAGATTAACATATATAGCTAAAATTAGATGTACCATATATTATACAGAAAAAATAATTTCTTGGAATCCTTCATTGCACTAATTAAATTTCATTATTATATTATAAATTATTAATAAGAATTTTTCATATTGTATATGATATCATGTTATACGAGGGTGGGGTTGACAAGTTTTGAGTCTCAATAAAAAAACACTAAACAGAAAGTAGGACTGACCAATAAAAAAAATTTTCCCTATGAAATTTTTTTATTATTTTTTATTAATAAAATTAAATTATAACAGAAATTTATAAATAAATGAATGATATTATTATATTATTAAAGTATAATATTGCATAGTAGATTAAATAATAATAATAATAATTATCATTGTTCGTTATGGATAACTCTTTACCGAAATTTTTCAGCGAAGTTTCTGGTAAAATTTGAGAAAAAAGTAAAAGACAAAAGGAAAATAATGTAGATACGAAAATTAGAGAACAAATGAGTGAGTTGATTTTGTCTTCGGTATACCGTAAACGTGTTAGCGCACTCAATGAACGACCAAATCTTTTAGCCTGAGAAGACGAAAAGATTCTCACGGTTCAACACTTATGTATATCGTTCGCATGAACATTCTTGGAAAAAGGTGGGGGCGAAGAACGCCGGAGGGTTCAGTTACTCACTGGAAACGCAACCTTTCATACGTGTGAAAAACTTTTCCCTTACGCTATCTATAATAGTAATCGTCGTTACATGATTTAGGGTATTAAATCATCATTGTTTTCTTTTTTCAGAGAGAGAGAGAGAGTTTCTTCGAAGTATTTAGATATTTATAAGACAATGATTTATTATTGAAAGAAAATGTTTATCAAACGAACTTAACTCATTTATTTTTATTTATTTTTATATTTCAAAAAGTAATTATTTTATAGTAGAAAAATTGCATTGATTTATATTATACAGGATGTCCTGTAACTAATGGTATAAACGAGCAGAAGATGATTCTATATGAAAACCTAAATCGATAATGTATAAAATAATTTGTTCATATGAGACTTTGTTTTTTTGAACAATAAGTTTGAAAATTAGTATATAGAATCATCCCCTTTTTGTTTATACCATCAATTATAGAATACCCTGTATATTTTTAATTACATATTAGAATTGTTACAAAATAATTCACCATTTTGAATTAAGAAATAACAAAAAAAAACATTGAAAACCCACCCCTTTATAAGAAATACTGAAATCCAACAATTCGATCGGATTAAAGTTGAAATGAAATTCATTGAAATAGAATGAAAAAGTAATGGTGTAATGGTGTATACGTAAGATGTAAGACTTGTAAGAAAGTAAATAAGTGGGAGAAGGATAAGTTAGTGTGTGTGCGGTCGCACGCGCTTGCACTCTCGTGAATGGGCACGGCTCGTGGACCAAGCACGGCGGCAACAGCAACAGCAACAGTAACAGCGCTGATGGTGGTGGTGGTGGTGGTGATGGTGATGGTGATGGTGGTGGTGGTGGTGGTGGCGGCGGCGGCCGTATGAATGAAATAGTAAATATAATTGACAGAAGGGCAGGCGTGGGCAGGCCAGTCGGGCGTTCAGTCAGAACGTTCGAGCAGAAACAGGCGGAACGAGCTGGAAGACGGAGGGGAATGGCGTTATGTATGAGTCGGACGTAGGATCGAGGTCATCACCTTTCTATCATCCAAAAGCAGACATTTTCCTCATTTTATTTTATTAACCTTTTCAGCTCTTTCTTCCTGCCCTTCTATTCCTAATTTCAATCTTCCTAGTACTATCTTTTAAATTTCATTTATTAGGCTTCTTTGTGCTTGGATTTTTTCATATTTTTTGATATACATTTTTGGTCTACCTTGTCTAACTTTCTAATTTTCTTATGTCGTAATGAAAATTTCAATGGTTTATGTGATACGAAAGCAAACACTTATGTCGTATCATTTTGTTTTCTTTTTATCCCTTTTAGGTTTCTGTCCTTGAAGCTTTAATCTTGCTAATGTTATAATACCTTTTGAATCGTTTATCAGATTCATTTATTATGTTTTTTTCCTTGGCTTTGAATTTCATTTATCAAAATAATTTCTGTAGATAGTTGTTTTTCCGATAAGTAAAATTATTTATCAGCATAAAATTCTATTTCTTTTTTTTCTGTTTTCATGAACGACATTTGACAAATTTTTCTATTCGCTTGTACCATTATTTACAAATTAATGTAATTTATTTATGTACAAATAATTAATACAAATATCTGTGTGTGCTAATTGAAGTAGTGAAAGTGAGATGATTTTAAGTGATAAGAACAACCCTTGAAATATCCGTCTACGAGTAGGATAATGAAATTTAGGTCATTTTCTTTTTATTATTCAAAAGTATACATTTTTAAATAATTACCTTTAAATCGAATTTATTATAATATCCGATCAATTTAATAAATGAAAATTTATTATGTATTAATTTCAATGAAATAGTTCAATATATAAATTATACAATTCGTGGAATAAAAATGATCTGTGACGAAGACAACCCCATTGAAGTTAATCATTTCTAAAGATGGATAGATTGGCATCTTTTGGATATACCAAAATGATGGTGTTTCGATCTTCATCGATCGAACTACTACCTACGCGTTTACGTCATGGTTTCTGTCTCTTGAAAGAAAGAGAAAGAGAGAGAGAGGAGCAAGAAGATGATTGGCCAAGAAAGTTCGCGTCGGAGACCGGTGAAGGAGAGCACAGAGAGCCAGCTTCTTGGCCACTCTCGGTCTTACCAAGTATCCCCTCTTCTTTTACAGAACCACCAAGTGACAACCAAAGACGGTAGGAAGGTACGGCTTCCGGTCGCCCACGCGATTATCTAGCCGGCCCTCGAATCAACTCGAATCGTTGCTGTTGCCGCTTGTGAAAATCCACTCAGGTGCCTAGTCAGACACCTTCCTTCCTTCCTTCCTTCCTTACTTACTTACTTACTTACTCACTTACTTACTTTCATAATCTTTAGGCTCGTGTCATATGCTCTCTTCAAAGATAACTAATTTCATAATTAGCTTGAAGAATTTTGTCTCATCTTTTTTTATTATTGTCGTAGAGAAAAAAAGCTTTTCCGGTTTCGTTCATGTGATTTTCATAATCAAGAATAATTGTGTAATTTGTTTGAAGCTAGCCTAACTGAGAGCTTAGTTTATTGTTGTTGTTGTTGTTGTAAATAATTTGTCTGGTTTTATTCGTAATTTGTTGATCGGAGTCAGGTGTAATATGTTTGAAGTTGGCCTAATTGAGAGCTTAGTTTGTTACTGTATAGAAAACTTTTCGGATGTCGTTCATTATATTCGTAATTTGTTGATTGAAGTTAGGTGTAATATGTTTGGAGTTATTCTAATCGAGAGTTTAGTCTGTTGTTGTTGCAGAGAAAGTTATTCCGCTTTCTTAGATGATTTTCTTAATCTGTTATTTGAAGTTAGGTAAGATTGAAGTAAACCTAATTGAATACATTGATAGATAATACGAATCCTTTCCAATTTATCTCAATTTTCTTTTTACCTTTCTTTCCAAATTTGTTCTACCAACGTCACAGATAGTTAGTCTAATCAAATTCCTAGATAATTCTTTTTACCTACTTCAACTAAACATTGACAAAGTATAAACATTAAATATC